ATTTTCAAACTATTTATTGTCAAATTTAGTCTAATAATTGAAATCATGGATGCAATAAGAAACATGAAACAAACACAGCTAAATGTATCAAAAGTATGTCATTGTGATATTAGAATTTTCTGAGACAATGAATTTTGGTTTTTCATTTTTTTCTACTGTAAGAGGTTTTTATTTAATAGAATTTTTGGGCAAAAAAAATCGCAATATATTGCCTTGCTTATAGTATCGCAATATATCGTGATATATCATATCGTGACCCCTCTGTCTCATATCGCCAAATTCTTGCCAATACACAGCCCTAGTGTGTACCTTCATATATACTCTGTAAGTACACCCATATATCACATGTTATATCCCTGTACTTACCCTTTAACTACCCACATACGTACCTTGAATGTATCCCAATAAGTACCAGGTAAGCATCCTGTAATTATATTTATAAGTACTTTTACAATGTAAATAAAGTGTAAATTCTGAGCGCTCAGTTTTCACAGCATCACCTGAAACAAACGAAACACCAGAAACAGCCGCCCAACGTGAGGTTGTGTTTCCATGGAAACGTGATGCTGTTGCCATGGCGTGGAGACACGAGGACTATTTTTGTCCTAATGTGATGACTGCTGGACTCGTCAGTATTTCATGAGGACCGGTCTGCTGGTCTCAGGGAGGGACTGAAGAAGTCTGGTTCAGACGGGTTTGGGTCCGGTTCTGCATCAACAGAACCGGACCCAAACGTTTGGAGCAGGACACTGGTCTGTACTGAGGACAGCTCAGCTATAGCTAAGAGTAGCAAAAGACAAGCCAAAAAATAAAAATAACAAAATACTAGCTGAAGAAAAAAAATATAGCAAAATACCAGCTAAAGGGTAAAATGAGCAAAACACTAGCTGAAAGCTAAACAAAACAAAATGCTAGCAAAAAACAAAGAATAGGAAGAAACTATTATGAGGATGAAGTCAGCAAAATGTTAGCTAAAAGCTAAAACTATCACAGCAAAGTCCCAATAACAAAATACTAGCTAGATGCTAAAAGTAGCAAAATGCTAGCTTGAAACTAAAATCAGAAAATATAAAAGTATAGCAAAAAAGCTACTAAACTCTGGCTATAAGTCATAAGTAGCAGAAGACAAGCCAATAACTAAAAACAACAAAATATTAGCTGAAGTAAAAATGTAGCAAAATACTAGCTAAAGGCTAAAGTTAGCAAAACACTAGCTGAAAGCTAAAACTTTCAAAGCAAAGACCAAATAACAAAAGACTAGCTAGATGCTAAAAGTAGCAAAACTCTAGCTATAAGTCGTAAGTTGCAAAAGACAAGCCGGAAATTAAAAGTAGCAAAATACTACAACTAAATACCAGCTAAAGGCTAAATGTAGTAAAACACTTGCTGAAAGCTAAATAAGGTAAAGTGTTAGCTAAACGTGCAAATTAGTTAAAGGAAAAGCTGGTTAATAAGCTGCAAAACTCTACATGTAGTCAAATAAAAAATAAAAATAAAATACTAACTGAAGAATAAAGGTAGCAAAATAACAGCTAAAGTTGGTAAAACACTAGCTGAAAGCTAAAAAATAAAAATGCTAGCTAAAAGTTAAAAATAGGGAAATGCTATCATAAGGATAAAGTCAGCAAAATGTTAGCTAAAAGCTAAAACTATCAAAGCAAAGTCCAAATAACAAAAGACTAGCTAGATGCTAAAAGTAGCAAAAGGCTTGCCAATAAGTGGCAAAACTCTAGCTATAAGTCATAAGTAGCAAAAGACAAGCCAAAAACTAAAAGTAGCAAAATACTACGACTAAATACCAGCTACAGGCTTAATGTAGCAAAACACTTGCTGAAAGCTAAATAAGGTAAAATGCTAGCTAAACGTGCAAAGTAGCAAAAATAAAGGCTGGTTAACAGGCTGCAAAACTCTAGCTTTAAGTTATAAGTAGTCAAAAAAAATAAAAAATAAAAATAGCAAGTGTTTATGAAGTGAAAACTGCTTTCGTTTACAGAAAAACCCATGAAGCAGAAAAAACACAAGTTTGAAAAATAAGAAGAAACAACAAAAACATAAAACTGCAACACCTGAGGCCCCTCCCTCCCTGGCCCCACCCACCCGCTGCACCTGCAGCACCACACCTGGAACAGCAAACTGAAAACTCAACCAACGTGTTTCTGTGTTTAGGTTCACGGGTTTTACTCTAAAATGTCTGTTTTTTTTCGGAGTCAGAGAGGAAGATGAGGAACAGAACAGAGCGAGCAGAGGAAGATAAAAACAGTTTTACCTGAAGAAGCTTGACCCGGACCCTGTTGTAGGCCTTCAGCCAGCGGACTTTAGATGGAGAGCAGGGAAGGAGGCCGTCCTCGAACAAACTGGATGAAGATGATCCTATCAGCTGTTTTGTTCTCAGACATGGAGATAAATAAATCATCTAAAATCATCGTTTCTCACCAGCTTTTACTTCCATCCGTCTTCACCTCCCAGGCTGCTTTGAGATCCTTCAGGTCTTTGTCGGCTCCAGGTTCTGGCAGCCCGGTGGCCTCTTTCTCAGGCGCCTCGTCCTCAGATGTCTGGTTTAGGAGAGGGGGCCGGCGGTCTGTGGGGGGGCAGTGTCCCGGCTGGTGGCGGTCCTCGGGCTCAGAGCTGAGCTGGGAGCTGACGGAGCTGAGGTTCCCCGACGAATTGTCCAGGGGACTGCAGAGCGGAGAGTCTGGTTAAAAGTGCTGACTCGGCAAAAAAAAATCCAACAAGCTAAAAAAATGAAAGGTTTTTATCCCAACTTTTAATTGTTTAATTGTGAAATTATCAGCAACACTAAAGCTAAGCTAAAATTATCCACAAAAGAGGAGAAACGGAGGCTGCAGAAAGCTTTTTGATTATCAACAAACTTATTTTTAAAAACCTAATTAAATACATTTTGTGTATAAACATGTCTAAAACTACATAATGAACTGGGTGTCATGGGACCTGCTATGCAGGGGAGATTTTCATGCATTGAGCTAACGCTAATGCTAATGCTAACCATTGATAGCAACGAGCGGAACATGGCAAAAACTCTTAATAAATGTACAAAGGGCTCAAATATTTTGCTACAAACTGCAGAAATTATAAGTTTACAAGACTAAATGGGATTATGTTTCACAGGTAAATAATACTTAACTGAAATTAATGATTTGAACGGTAAAACCAGTTTGCTAACATTCAAAAAGCTTCAAGGTATAAAGCTGAACCTTTTTTGTAATCAACTGTCTGTTATCAAATATATTATTTAATGATTCAAACAGGTACAATATGGACTTTTAATGGAATACTGACCTGTTAGACTGTATAAGATTTAATAAATTATGATGTAGACACACTAAAGACAGACATAAAATAATAAAGTCCTTATTTTAAGGATAGTTAAGTTATGTTTTGTACATCACGTATGTGCGTTTTTCAGATTTTAAAAAAAAAAGAAGAAACTACCAGCATCAGAAGAATAATCCTTTGTGACCTGAAATAATTTGCACAGAGTTAAAATGTTTGTGTGTTTTACAGAAATATCTTTGTTAAGTTATTTGCTTTTTTAATGTTACTGACTATTAAACAGCATAAACACATTTGTATTGTTTATTTTTATTTTATTGAATTTAAATGTTTTTGTTAAACATGGATAAAAGATGAATTTTATTGGGTTTTTTTATGTCTAGAGCTCAAATCTGACTGGTAAACACATGAATGAATATCCACGTGTAAAAACACCTATGTTAAGCACAAAATGACAACTTTAATTGTTTAATTATTAGTTTTAAATCTTCCTTTAATTAATCAGAGTTTATAAAAAAATTGAGCTAAAAATAAAAACTGAGAGTTTTTCCACAGAACAATGCCTCACATTGACATCCATTAATTTTGTTCAAACTCTTTAATGCATAATGTAGCTCGTCGCTAACGCAAAACTGTTTATATATATGGCAAAATGAGCCAAATGACAGGTAATGGTCAGGTTTTGAGGAGAAACGGGTCAGGACAGGTGGCCTGATGGCAACAGGGAACAGGTGGAGGAGGGCATCGCAAGACAGAGGAGCAGAAAATAAACATAAAGATCACAAAACTCAGAAAATTAACCTAATAATAAATTATAAAATCTACTGGAGAAGAATGAAAGCTTCACTCAGGCGTCCTGATTCTCTCTCCTTGTGTGACCCGTCCTGCTGTCTGAACGAGACAAATCTGATCCAGATCTTATGTGGTCCTAACTCAGATCCAGATCTGGTGTTTTTCAGAACATTCCCTCACTTCATCAGACTTTTACCTCATTCAGGTAAAAAAGTTAATTTCAAAATAACCTTTTAAACCTGAGACATACAGTAAACAGTGCATTGAGAAGACTTTCTAATAAAATTAAAATTAGTCACAGAGCTGTGAGAAAGCCCCGCCTCCAGGACTCAGGAGGACAGAGAGGTGTGTGACTGCTGCATGATTGAGTCGCCTAACGAGGAAAGTGGCTCGGCGCTTTAACTCCAATGATTTACTCGCTCCTGGCCGTTCGCCAAATTACTTCTCGCTGTTCCTTTCAGACCGGCGTCCAGGCTGCCCGCCTGCACCGCCGCCATAAATCTGCCAGAGTTTGATTCACTTAAACAAACTGGTCGAGGAGCGGAGGGGACGGGGCTCAATAACCGCCTCACCGGTGAGGAGCTAATAAATAAAATCACTGGTTTCTTCCTACATTTTGCTTCCATCACTGTCAGGAAGCCAATAACTGAGGTGGTGCAGTATATTAACACCTGATGGTGAGCACCTTTCTACTGCTGGACCAAGAAACTCAAACTGACACCGAAATATGAAATAACACGAATTTAAAACTATAATTCACTGAAACAAATCCAATAACAATACAAATACTGAAAGTTTCATTTAATAAATGTTTTTATTTTAATCTTTTAAATGCAAATGTTCCTGGTTTTAGCCATGAGCTACAATTTTGCTAACTTTAGCTAAGGTTTTGCTTATTATAGCTATTGTTTTTGTTCCATCTTTTAGCCACTGTTTTGCTTGCTTTAGTGGTGGACATGGTTGTGCTTATCAGATCAAAGCAGAAATAAATTTTCATTTAGCGAATGCGGTTTTACGCTTTGAAAACTGTTAATGAACCAAGTAGCTTCTGCTAAATTGTTCTGTCAATTTTAAGTCCACTAACAGCTAACTAACAAGCTAACATTTACAGCTTTATGGCAATTACCTGATATTGTTAGCTTCAGCTAATTTTTTACTTGATTAGCTGTTTAGCATTAGATTTTTTTTTTTTTTTGCATGTTTAGCATTAGTGAAGTTTTATTTTTAGTTAGCAGATTATGAGTTAACGAAGCTAACTTTTTGATTAGCTGTACCCACTGTGCAATTAGCTTATTTATCTTTTAGGTACTGTTTTGTAATTTTTTTAGCTTGTAGCTATTGCATTGAAACTGTCTTGCTAATTTTAGCATTTGGCAGCTGTTACACAGATATTATTTTTAGCCACAGTTTTCTGAGTTTCAGCTGTTAGTTAGTGTTTTGCTAATTTTAGCTTTTAGATTCTGTTTTGCTAATTTAAAAAAATACCACTCTTTTTACCAATTTGTCTTATCTGTTTTCTTATTTTAACTTTTAGCTAATGTATCTTCACGGTTTTGCTCATGTTAGCTTTTAATTACTTTTCTGCTTGTTTTAGCTTTTAGCTACTGTTCTGCTTGTTTGATCTTAACTTGTTTTTGTTGGTTTTAGCTACTGTTCTGATGGTTTTAGCTTTTTAGCTACTGTTTGAGGTTTGCACTGTTTAGCTTGGATTTGGCTTGTTTTTCAGCTGTTTCAGCTTTCATTTCCTCTTTTTAACTTTAGCCCAGTTTCAAATTTTTCAACAAATTTATTCAGCTCTCGGCATTTAGGAATTTTCAAAGAAAATGCCATTTTTATCAGTTTGTACTCAAAGTTGACAGGCAGGAAAATAGGAAAAGGGTTCAAACAGAATAAAAACTCATCAGCCACAACAAGATGAAGTAGACTGATCTTTTTTTGATCATCTGGAGTTGTCCTGTAGTGAATTATAATTTTACTTATTAGTCCACACAAGGATCAAATGTCAAAGTAATGTCTATGAGGATACCAAAAAGCAGGTTTTCACAGAAGAACATTGCATTTTAACCAAAATTGTGTTGTCATTTTACATAGTGGTGGTCATATTGTTATGGCTGATTAGCAGAGGGAGAATTATTGGGGAAGAAGAAGAAGGAAATGGGATCCATATCTATCTAAAACAGTATGCTAAATGAATAACGTCATTTATCATACAGATACTAGCCTTTTAGCAGCTTTCGCTGTCAACAGATCCTTTGTTCCCAGATCTGCAAGCCTGGTCTCAGGTGTGCTTACTTCACTCTGATCTAACTGGGACGACATCACGAGGTTTTGTTTATCCAAACTTTCTGAAAGAGACCCTGACAGAGAGGGGAAGCCCGACTGTGGCGTTTGTGCTAATGTGTCACAGCTTCCTGTTTTCGACGTTTCCGTCGGTCCTTCCGTGTCGCTTGCATCTGCACCTTCGGTTTCTCCCGAACCTGGAGATGGTTTGTTAGAGTCCGGCTCGTCTAATTCATCTGTGGGTTTCGGACTTTCAGACAGAGGCTGGGACGTGACCGAGGGAGAGCCGGATTCAGGTTTGGGAGAGTCAGAGGCGCCGAACATAGAGCTCAGTTTCAAACCAAACACAGACGACGAAGTTGACGTTTCCTCCTTTCCGGTCAGCTTGTCTTCCTGGAAAATACTGGCTGAAAAGCTTTTAAAACCTGAAAGGAGATCTGTCTGCTGATGCTGGGTCTTAGCAGGAGATGTGGTAGAGAAAAGGGATCCAATAGATGATATGCCATCAGTAGCTACAGACAGAGAGCCAAATTTTGGGGTGGTCAGACTGGGTATATCAAACACACCCTTGGCTTCAGGAGGTATAGTTGGTGCATCTTTAAGAGACTCTTCAGTTCTGGATTCTACTGAATGTTTGCCATTTTCTACATCTTCTACTGGTTCTATGGTAGATTCAATGAGAGAACTCTCGTCTTCCGATTTGTCTTTCCTCTCTGCCTCTTCCACCAGCCCTTTTTCAGGTGAGTCTTCAATGCTTTTAACGTGTCCAACGTCGGTTGAAGGTGTGATTTCTGCATTTGAGTTTAAAGTGTTCCCCGAGTTCATCGGGTTTTCAGAGAGATCATCTGGTCCAGGCTTTGTGTCGACCTGCGGAGGTTCCTCAGACTTTGTTGCCTCTGAACTTTTGAACATACCAAAAAGGTCGCCGGTAATGGACTCTGTCGCAATGCCACTTGGAAGACCAAAGAAAGAGCTTTTCTGTTGTTGTTGTTGTTGTGGCGGTGGCTGATGAGGGGAAGATCCAAAAAATGAGCCAGGTGAACTCGAGAAAAATCCACTAACAGTTGATGATTTACTTGGTGCACTTGAGGAGAACATCGACATGAAGCCAGAAAACGGAGCTGCTTCAGGGACCTTTTGCGGTCCTTGTTGCCTTGGTCCGACCATTCTTGGGCCGGGCATTCTAGGGGACCCCATCTGTGGCCCACCCGTTCTTGGTCCCCCCATTCTTGGTGTTCCCATGGTAGGTCTTGGCGGGCCAGGTGGTCTAACAATGCCTTGCCTAGGCTGTTGAAGTAGTAAAGGGCTAGCCGGCGCTATTGACATTCCACTAGGAGCTTTATCTTCATCTGATGACGAGGCTACTGTCACAACAGCTTCATTTTCACAAGTTTTATCTGATTCATGAGGAATTTCTGCTGCTGCTTTAAGTTTTGTCTCAGTTGGCTCCTTTACAGTTATGTCAGATGAGAGGTTGGAGTCTCTCTCGGTTAAATCTGCAGTTGATTTTTCTGAAACATCCACAGTTACCTCTTTGGTTAACATTTCCACATCTGTGATCGCTGTTTGTTCTTCACCGGTAATTTTCAGAGATTCATCAGAGAGGTTTTCAACATTGCTAACTGCTGTTTGTTGTATACTGGAAACTTCTAAACACTCTTTGGGTGATTTTTCAACAGCTGCAACTGGAGGTTGCCTCTCTCTATCGTCCTCTGAAAGTTCCTGAAATGAGTTTTTATCAACCTTAACTGAACTTTGTTCTTCACTAGAGACCTTTGAAGTTTCCTCAGGAGATGTAGCAGCATGAATAACTGCTATTTGTTGCGTACCGGAAATTTCTAAACCCTTTTCAGGTGATTTTTCAGCAGCTGCAACTGAAGGTTGATTTTCTCCATCATCCTCTAAAAGTTTCTGAAATGAGTTTTCATCAATTGTAATTGATTTTTGTTCTTCACTAGAAACCTTTAAAGCTTCCTCAGGAGATGTAGTGGCATCTATAACAGCTGTTTGTTCTTTGACAGCAACTTTCAGAGTGTCTTCAGTTTGATCCTGCAACTCTGAAATTATGACTACGTCCTCAACAACAGGTTTTATCTCTTCCACATTAATATTAGCACTAGTGGATATTTCACTAGAATCTGCAACATTTTCTGGCGCTTGGAAAGTGCAAATCCTTTCTGATGGATGACTGACCTCAGCTAAGTCACTTTGATTAGAAGTGCTTTTAATTTCCAAAGCATGAACTTGAGATTCATCAGCTTTGTGCCCAACCTCTACCACATCTTCTGTGTCTTTATTTTCACTTAGAATGTCTGATTGTGTCTCGCTAACTTGTTTTGGTGTCTCTATTTCTGGTAAACTACTTGCGACATTTAATTCATCTACAATGGAAGTTTCAGACATCACTGAAGCATTTTGGTTAAAAGAAAGATCTAATTGGTTTGTAGTTTCTTTATTTATGTCTATTTGTGGATAATTTTTAGCAACCTCTTTGGCTTTATCTTGAAAATCTGCGTGTGGCTCCTCAATCGATGATGTAGAAGAAGGCTCAGTCGGTAAATGTGTGACAGAGTCATCGTGGTCATCCTTTACTTCTTTTACAAAAACTTCTGCATCTTGGAATTTTACTTCCTGTGAGGTCGTGTCTTCTTTGACAGGAGCATTTTTTTCTGGCTCTGTTTTGGTTTCGTCTAAAAAAGACATTCCGAACAGTCCAAACCCAGTTTTAGATTTATTACCATCAGAAATCCCCGCAAGGGAAAACACAGAAGACACTTTAAAACCACTGTCCGACTCTGCCGGTCTAGAAACTGCAGGTTGTGCTTCTGATGATTCTTGGTTTGGTCCGCTAAACATAGAGAACAGTCCCTTCCCTGAGCTCTCTGGAGCACTGGGTCTTGGTGGTGTAACTGTTGGTGCAGGTGCACATCTTCTCGGTCCAGTTTGAGGTTGGGAACCCAGACTGCCAAACTTAGAAAACAAACCTGGGGTGTCCTTATGTGTTGCAGAACCTTGTAGGATGCCACCAAACAGAGAAGATCCAGTGGAAGGTCCTCTTGGTGTGGGACCAACACCTGGATGACCCTTGGGACTGGGTGGTTGTTGAGGTGCAGATGTACCAAACATGGAAAACAGGCCTTTTCCTGGAGACTCTTTGGGGGGAGGACCTCTGGGTCTCACACCTCCAGCAGTTGGAGCCCTTGGACCAAATGGTGGCTGAACACTTGAACCACCAAACATGGAAAACAGACCTTTTCCCTGCGGCTCTTGTTGAGTGGACTGTGGTACTGTGTCTTTGGATTCAGATAAAGGAGAAGTATTTAAACCACCAAACATTGACAGCAACCCTGTCCCAGAGGTGTCTTTGGTAGAGGAGCCAGGAAGAATTCCACTGAGTACTGATAATCCAGTTTGAGAGGCCGTTTGTTGTGGGGTTTCTGTAGAACCACTAAACAATGAAAATATACCTATTCCCATTTGCTCATTGGTCTGTTCAGTTTTGGGTAGATCAACTTTGACAGGTGCACTATCCTCCTTGGGGACAGCAACCTTCTCAGCAGGAGAGCTGATGGGAGCTGGCTCAGGTTCAGACAGAGCGGCATCCTTTTCAGATTTGGCTTGACGATGTTGGTCCTCTTCAGCTGATTCTTTCAGAGTACACTGAACCGTTTCAGGTAACACAGACACAGCTTCTGAAAGTTTGTTTTCATCTTTGATGGATGGCTCCTCTGCTGATTTAACACATTTTGGTATTTTTTCAACCAAAGTTAGGTTTTCTTCCTGACAAACCAAATCACTGGGAGGAACCTCGAGTGGTGCTGTGTCTGAAGTTGATACATTTGAGTCCGTTGAAGTTAATGGAAGTTCCTGCTTGCAAGCCACATTTGACTCAACATTTGAGAAGTTTGCACCTGTAGCCGAACTCTTCTCAGTCAAGATGTGCTGCGAGTCTTGATTATTTGGTGGGGTCTTGACCTCGTCTACAGATATTTCAGTAGATTCTTTTATGATACTGCTTTCATCTTTAGATTTATCTGACTCTGAAACAATAATATCCGATAAAAATTCATCTTGGTCCGGTGTTTTTTCCGAATCAGGCGAGACATCTTCAAAAGCACCAACCTCTGTGACATCAGGTTTGCTGCTTTCACTCATTTCATGTTCATTCAGCTCTTCTTCTGGTGAGCTTGCCGCAGAGATGAAAATGTGAGGCAGTCTAACGTAAGGTTTAAGATCCTCTGGTTCATTGTCTGTGCTGAAAGGAGGCATGTCCTGGGAGTTAATGCCAATGTAGATAGACCTCAGCTTTCTGCTTTTCTCTTGTGGTTCATTAGGTATACAGGGAACCTCACTCAGTCCACTGTTGACAGTGATAGATTGTGTGGATAAAGTCAGTTTACGCTCGTCTGAAACTGGCTGTTGTGATGTGTCTGATTTATGCACAGTTGTTTCATTTATCACAATTTCTTCTGATGTAGCCTCTGGCAGTGTTTGAGAAATTTCTGCTGAGCCATCAACACTTTGACTTTCTTTGTGCAGGTTGTTTTCTGGCAGTTTAACTGGGGATGTTTCAGGAATGGGCGATACTTTCTCTGCTGCTGTTCTTTCTGTGCACACATTTATTGCTGCATGTAGTTGTTGACAGTCTTGAGACAGATTTGGAGGTTTAAAAGCACCCGGTAATGACCGATGACCCTCCTTATTTGAAATCCAACCTCTGGGTTTAGAGGTGAGAGGTATTTTTGGAGTTAGCTCTGTCTGTATGGCTGCAGATTGATCTTTAGATAATTCTGAAGATGAAACTATTTTAATTTGAGGAGTCACTGGTCTGGATTCAGCATTACCTTGTATATGTGCTACTGTACAAGAGCTAGAACTTGACACAATGGGCGTTTGTGCATTAGAGGTAACCAATTCTGTCATTTTAACATGGGTAACTGGGGCGAATGTATCTCGCCTGATGGGTAGCATTTGTGGTGGAATATCTCCTTTACTGTGGTCCACAGGTTTAGACACAACCATGGCATGTTGGGAAACAGGAGCAGATGAATTTGCACTTTCAGATTGTGCATTCAAATCACTAAATAATGAAATCAAACTCCTGACAGAGGAGGATCCTGCTGATGTTACCGGTATCTGTGGTTCACGTCTGAAACCCTGATCCTGACCACTCGTGTGAATTGTTGGCACTGAGGTGGATTGTGATGAAGGTGCTTTAGCTTGTGAAGCATATTGAAATGAATCAATGCTGCTTGAAGTTAGGGTCGATGTGCGATAATGCTGAGAAGTGATGTTGTGTTGGTTTAAATCAGGTGGTTTTGAGCCCTGAAGAGGTCCTTTTGCATAACCGACTGCGCGTGACGGGCTTTGGCTGTGCACAGATTGTCCCACTCCAGGTGACACAGAAGTATCAGTTCTCTGACTTTCAACTACTTGCTGAATATTTAAATCTTCTTTCAAAGACAATGTGGTGGTAACAGTTGCACTAACCAGAGGCTGGGTAGAGCAAGGAACAGGTGGCTGACTGCTACTAGTCATTATTCCACTTTCTTCTAACTCCTCCGTGCTCCCACAGCTCTCTACCGTCGCCTGCTTGATAAGAATTTTGGGTCTTTGGGTCATGTCATGCTGACCACTTGTATCTTGGTTTTGCAACTTCAGTTTACTTGCCTGAGAGATCGGCATTTCCACACCGGGATGCTGGAAATGCTGCTGTGGAACTGAATGTTGAGGTTTGTTTGGAAAGATTTGTTGAGGTTTATTTGACTTGTCATGTGCACTGCTGATGTGCTGATATGCAACATTATGGGGCAACTGAGTAGATTTGCTGCTCTGCACAGTCTTTGGGACACAATACTGAAGAGGTACTGTTCTTCGTTCAGTTGGAACCAAATGTGGGAGTGAAGGCTTTGCTGGTTCAGAATGTATTCCCGTCTGCGGTCCATACTGTATTCTGGGTTGAGTGGCTGCTTGCTGATATGACTTCTGAGTTTGAAAAGACAGGGAGTCGTTTCTGAACTCCATAGCAGCATTTGCAGGTGTATACTGTTGCAGATGGTCCAAACTGGGTTGAGGTAGGACACGAGGAGCAGTAAAATCCTCTGCATTTTGCTGATTACTTATTTTGTTTGGAAGATCCACAGTTAGGTCAACAATACCTACGGATGTTTTCATTTCTGATTGCCTTTTAGTCTGCCCTTTGTCAGATATTTCTTTCTTTACTTTTACATTAGTAAAGTCCATAGGCTCTCCATCTTTTAGTTCAGTTAGACTTTTTAAAGGTGTACTGGTAGTTAGGCAGTCTTTTGCTGAAAAATCTATGGGCCTATTTTGTTGCTGCACGTTCTTGAAGGTCATATTAGAAAATGCTGTATTGAAGTGAGACGTAGATATCTGTCTATGAAGAGTCTCAGTTGTGGTGATTTGTCTTTTGTGTTGACAGGCAGATTGCTCCACTATGAGCGGAACACCAGCAGAACAGTTCGTTGTTGCGTCCGTCTTGTGTCTGACCAATGGTACAACTTCAGAGGACGATGTAATAGATGTTGTTTCAGACTTGTTCTGTTTGGAGTTCGAAGACATGTCTATGGAGTTTCTGATGGAATTGGCAGGTGCTGATGATTCTCGACTTTGGACAAACACTTGGATCGGTTTCTGAGGTTCTACCACTCTTGTTTGTTGCCTTTTCGGATGCTCCTGGGGGTGATGTGTCTCCACAATCAACGGGACACCAACAGTTTCATCATGAGAATATGATAAACTTGATCGTCTCGTTTGAACCAGTGATACTGGATCGGAACTAAGAACCACTTTGTCAGATTTGGATGTCTTTGTTGACATGTCTAGTGTATATTTAACAGAGTTTGCTGGAGCTGTACTGAGTGAAAGTGATCTGACAATGGACTGGGACCCTCTTGAGCATAGCATACCTCTATTACTGCAGAGTGGATACTGTTGAACAGGAACTGTGTCTATCATGGGCATTTCTTGCACAAAGAACTTGTTTGATTGCACTTGACTTGTTGATTCTGGGTGAGTTTGCTCGACTATCAGTGCAACACCAACAGAATCTCTCCTGGCAACTTCTCTAGCACTTGGCTTATTGACGAGGGGAACTGCCTGATCTGAAGCGAACTCATCTTTGGGAACTGTTTTCTCCAGCTTGGCTTCACCTGGCTTGGGTGACATATCCAACACTTCTGTAGTGGCATATTGTTTGGAAGTAAAAGCCTCCTGTGTTTGTTGTGTGACTGGTAACTGTGAAGGTAACTGAACTAAGCACCCATGTTTGCTTTGCCAAGGTTGTCCTTGAATCATAACAGAGCCAGAGTCACAATTAGACTGATTGCTGAGCCATTGCTGAGCATTGGTAGGTAAATTCTTATCCATATTTGGATCCATTTCCCTTGAAATGGCAACAGAATTAGGAGTGTCTTTCACTGAGCTGGTTGGCTCCTCATCTTGCCTACTCTCTGGTGATACTACTTTATATGTCAAGTCAATAAATTCTTGACAACCTGAGCTTTGGTCTGTCTCAACACGAGCCAATGAGTTTTTCCTGGTCAATGACATTGCCTCGCAGACAGGAGTGTTTGCTGGCACAACAGTTTGCTGCATGGTCTGCACTGTTGTCTTAACAGACATATCTACTGAGGCTGTAACCGAGTTTGCTGGTGCAGAGATCTGATACCGTTGAGCTTTTTCATTAGAGCAGAAAACATGTGTAGGCGTTGATATCTTTAAGTCACTGGAAATTTGCTGTGTTAGACCAGCTGCAACTATTGGTGAACTTTGCAGTTGCTGCTGAATGGCTACTTGTTTTCTCATCTCAGGGCTCTGGAAGGGAGAGGTCAATACAGGTTTTATTGACTCAGTTCTAGAGGTTTGTTTGACACTTTTATCAAGGTCAGAGTCTTTGCTGGAAAGATGTACAGCTCTAGAGAGCTTTGCCAGGGAATCTGCTGCTCCTTTCTCTGAGACACTGAAAGTAGTTTGATTTGTTTGCACTCCTTTAGGTTTGCTTTGGAAGGATGGAAGTTGCTGAGTACAGAGTGCAGAATGGTTAATACCAACTTCTGGCCTGGACAAACTTCTCGTTGATTGGTTTTGTTGGTTAAATACCCTCCACTGCTTGGTCTGAGATTCATCTTGCAATGTGCCCACACTTTCTAACTTTGGCCATTCAACTTCTTCTTCTTTTGTTTCCTTGGTAAGATCTACAACAGTTACGTCCTCACCAGTAAAATCCAAACTTGTCTCAGAATCAATCTGCTTCTTTTCTTTGAATCTTTTCAATTTGTACATCGTACAATCAACAATCTCGGTTCTCTGTATAGATTCAACACTAGCTTCAGTGTCTTCTTTTTGTTGGGCATTTTTGCTTTTGCTCACCGTGGCAGAAAAATCCAAAACTTTCTGGCACATTTGAGGGCTGCTTGGAGGGAAACATGGTTTTTGAGTTCTGTTGTAAAGGTAGGCTTCACTATACTTAGCTGGAGTATTCAATATGTGCAATTGTGGTTCTTTAAACGAATCTTGTGGTTGTTTTTGAGATGGAGAACATGTTTGAGTCACTCTTGGAGATCCATTCTCTTTGTCACGCATCCCTGTAACAATGTTCTTATTAGCTTGGGGTAATATTCTGGGTTTATCTGCTTGAGACAACTGCTTGGTAAGGTGTGGTCTCTGCGAAGAAACAGAAGGCACAGTTGATGTAGAAATCTTGGTTGAGCTAGCAGTTGCTGTTTGTGCTGGGGAAGCTGGAGAGACACTTGTCAAACTAACTGTTGGTAGTTCTGGCAGCTTCCTTCCTGTTATTTTTGAAGTTGATGGAGTCTTAGCAGTTATGGTCGAAGTCTCAGAAACCTTACTGGACACAGTCGCTGATGTAGATGTTGACGAAAGTGGTTTAGGTTTACTTGTATCAGTGTTGGTGGATTTTCCGATGGTTCTCGAAGGTATGGAGCTTGCTGTTTGTCTTGATTGGCCTGCATGCATATCATCTACATGAGCAATCTTGATTTCAGGAATAGGATATGGTTTGTTTTGAAAGACTTGTCTTGAATTACGAGGAGGAGAAGATGAAACAATGTCTTTAAGCCCTTGATTCTTCCAGTACGGTCCTCCGTGTCCTCCTTTTAGGGACTTCAAACTAAAATCTTCTGCTTCAGGAAGCTCTTCTTGAGGAGTGTGAGTGTTTTGTATGGACTCCACATTTATCTTTTTAAGCTTATACACACTAAAGTCAACAGCTTGCTCTGCTTGAGAAGATACAGACTCTTGAAACATTTGAGAGAAGCTTTCCAAATTCATGTTCATGACTTTTTCACCTTTTTTAAGGGCAGACGTCAGGTTCATGGGTGTGTCGGGTTGGAACAAGTTGTTCAGCTGATTGTCAGGGACCCAGAAGCCTTTACTTTCATCACTGAGGGGGATTTTAAAACCACAAAGAGTCACTTTGTCCATTTCTCTTTGTTTCAGAATATTAACAACATTTTCTGTGATGTTTCCTAAAGTTTGCATATTCTCTTCTGTGGCGCAGGCGTAGAGGTGCTTTCCTGATTTATCTGTTAAAAGAGAATATATATAGTTTTCATCTGTGTAAATGTAGTATCCACAGTCCCCTGCTTCAGCTGGCCACCACAACCCTTGTTCTAATAGTGAAAGCCATTGTTGGTACCACTCAGAATCTTCAAACTGCACATCATCATCTGCATCACCTGCAATCCCTGCAAACCTGCTTAAATCCATGGCGCTGCGTCTTAAGTCAACAGGGCCCTTTTTTGTTGCAAGACTTTTCAAAAACTCAGTGGCTGACTTCAAATCAAAGTTTTCATCTTGTAAGCAATTGTTACCAGCGCCTTCTGTACCATTTTTGCTGAACTCTTGAACATTGTATTCCGCAAGGGACTGGCATCGACTCAACTTCGCCTTTGACTTTTCCGTGGACAGATTCATCGCGTCACCTCTAGCAAGCCAGTGTTTTCTGTTCACATTAAGTTCATTCAAATGATCACAGCTGCTCCAGGGTTTCTTATTTCTGCAGCTCATATCAAACAAAATAAGATCTTCACCTGGATCAAGGAAACGGTTTCTGTTCTCAAAAAGCTGAGCAGCAGCATCTCTCCAAGGATGAGAGGGTACATTGAATCCACTGATATCCATATCTTTAGGATTTAACCAAATGTGGTTCTCCCATTGAGGGGCAACAACTGTGGGTGCTGCGTGACCCTGGTATGCCTGGTCCTCCTGGACTTGGGTGGCAAAAGCTTCAGCTTGGATATAGTCATTGAGTTGTTGCCACAGCAGAGCTTCTATCAGACACTGATGGTCATAAAGCTCTGGTGGAATAACTCCATGTTCTGTAAAGTTGTATAAGAGGTCCCTGTAACCGTACTCGTTAGCTGTCCCATACAAGAGATGCTGTATTTCCTCAAGATAACGCTGTGTTGGGGAGGTTGTAGGATCTTGTCTAACTTGTGAAGGACAATTAACAACTGGATTTATTGAACTAGAAGTTGGAAGTGAAGCTACACTTGAAGGTAAACCCTCTAAACTATTAGAAGTTATACTTCCCTTGCCATGAGCAGAAGTATTACTGTCTCTTTTGAAAATACTGGATAACAAACTGGGAGACGAGCCGGTCGTGGTGGTTTTCGGTTCTTCCTTTGCAGGCTGAGGTGAGGATGGCTGCTGCGTTTTTGATGGTGGCTCTTCTGTGGCGCTAAAAAAACCAGAAAGAAAACCTTTTGGAGGCGGATCTTTTGATTCCTTCTCAGCGGATGCTTCTTGAACAGGTTGCACCTCCACTAGTTTAGTCCTCTGGATCTGTGGTCTGCTCTGACCTGTATGTGGCTGCTGTTGTTGCTGTGCTGTTTGAGGGCTTACCTGTTCGACAGGTGACTGTTCTACAGTAGCTGAAATCTTGTTTAACAGGCCAGAGAATAATCCTGGAGTTTGCTCTGATTTTACAGCTGGTTCTTTGAGCTGAGGAGGTTGACTTTGTTGTTGTTCCTGAGGTATATCATCACCAGATGCAAGCTTACGGATACCCGAAAGCAAGCCTCCAGTTTGACCAGCCGGCTGGGTTGATGTTTGTTGAGGGCTCGTCATTTTACCCGGTAGTTGTTGATGAGGTGGTGACGGTCCAAATAGACCAGATAAGAATCCTCCCTGCTGACTGGTTTGTTCAGGTTTATTGGTCTGCTGGGAGCCAGCCTGTGCACCGGGCTGTGGCGGTGCATT